TTTTACAAGTTGCATATTTGTCAGAGGTCGGAAATACAAAAATAATAAAGAGGATCAATGGAACTTCATGCTGAACAATTACAGGATCCGATAAATTTTCCCTTGATTTGTATCAAAGGCGAAGAATTGAACCAATTTGAAAATGCTCAGTTCATATGAGAGCCAATTATCCAGTTAATCAAAAGAAATGGATATTACGAGGGTGGATTACAAAATTCGCGGCCTAACACATAAATACTTAAACTGTTTTAATGTAACATCATCGCTTTGTTAACTCTTTGGTTGTCATTGTATCGCAAAAGCTTTAACTGTATTTAAATTAGACTGAATTTTGTGAGCCTTTGTACAGCGTTTTTAAAGAATTGAGAAAATTGAGCAACGTGCGGTCATCAAATACTTGTTAAAAAAATTAACTCCTGCAATGTGGAGCATTGAGGGAGACGTGTTAGTTGTATGAACAACTTTAATTAAGTGTCCTAGTATCTAACTTACACTACTTACTTATAGGGCGAGGTGTTACACACACTACACTCCAAAAGAGATTTACGAAGATATGTCAATAACATTAGGGGAATGTACTCCGTCGTATACGACTGAAAAAGTGGGTTGCTGAATTTAAACGTGGATGAGAGAGTAATAGCTGTGGCAGAAGCTACAGTGCGAGACAGATGTGCCTCATGAGATTGTGTCCATATTCAAGTATTGGTGCAGTCAGGAAAAGAATAGTGTAAGATGGGTTGATGCGCAGACGGACGTGTACGGGTTGGAATGTGGGGTGAGGCAGGGGGGATTGTCCTCGCCTCGTCTTTTCAACCTGTATATGAATGGGTTGATAGGTGAGCTCAGCAGCACTAATATAGGTTGTCCCATAGATGGGGTATGTATGAATAACATTAGTTATGCGAATGATATGGTGCTGCTGAGGCCATCGATTAATGCGCTACGCAAACTGTTGTGCATTTATGAGTCGTATGCTCGGGCTCATGGGCTAAAATACAATGCCAAGAAAAGTGAGCTAATGGTTTTTAAAACTGGTACCAAAGTTTATTCGTCTGTACCTCCGGTTATTCTGTGTGGCACACTGCTTAAAAGAGTGACGCATTTCAAATACTTAGGCGACTGGATCTCCGACGATTTGTGCGATAACATGGACATTGACAGGGAGCGCTGTCCGTCCGGTGAAATATGTTGGCTCGCAGGTTTGCACGTTGTACTCAGCCAGTAAAAGTGACTTTGTTCAAGGCTTACTGCCAATCGTTTTACACGTGCAGCCTGTGGGCCAACTACACGCAGCGAGCGTACAGCGCACTGCGTGTACAGTACAACAGTGCCTTCAGGGTGCCGTTGGGATTACCGAGGTTTTGTAGTGCTTCAGCTGTGTTTGCTGAACCACGAACTGATGATTTTTTCGCCATAATTAGAAAGCGGAGCGTTTCACTTCTTCTTAGCCTGCGTGGTAGCACTAATGGCATGCTGAGGGCTGAGTCCGAGCGATGGGATCTGCCCCTTTTAAAGACATGGATGAAGTTGCATTTTTTTTGATTCTCGCGTTATATTTAATGTTTTGTTATTGTAATTTTGTTTTTATTTTTTTTTTCTCAATTTTATTCTAATTTCATTTTAATTTTACATCAATCTGTATTTTTTTTAATTATTACTTAAATATTGTTTCAATTTTATATTTCAATGTCATTTATCATTTATTTTTTAATTGAAATCTGATTCTATAATAATGGTAATTGATAATCAAATTTGTTTTACTAACACTAGTTGTATAAGAAAATTGTTACTAAACATTTATGAGCTCTGAGCTTGAAATAAAGATTACTGTTCTATTGAAGAGGACTCTCGCTCTGGCCGGCCTATAACATCTACAATTGAAGAAAACATCAGAATAATCTGTGATCTGATGTTGACAGATCAGAGATTGACCATCAGGAAGATTGCAGACACTATTGGCATCTCGTATGAACGAACACAAAACATCATAGTCAATGAACTTGGATTTTCTAAGGTCTCTGCACAGTGGGTACCCAGATTACTTTTAGTCGAGCAAAAACGAATATGCCTCACGACTTCTCGCGACTGTTTGGAAATATTTGATTGCTTGATTCACAAGATTTTTTGTCCAGATTTGTAACAATGGATGAAATTTGGGTAAACCACTAGACCCCAGAGTCAAAACAGCAATCCAAGCAGTGGAAAAAACCTGATTAACAGACCAAAAAAATCTAAAACAGTTTTGTCAGCTGGTTTTATGGGATGCTAAAGGTGTCATCATGATGGACCTACCTTGCAAAAGGTGAAACTATAACCTCGGGTTATTAGTGCACCGTTTTACTTCGCTTATGTGAAACATTCAAAGAGAAAAGGCGAGGATTCCTCCGCAAGAAAGTGCTGTTCCATCAGGATAATGCACGCGTTCACACTTCTGTTGAATCTATGGCTCAAATTCGTAATTGTGGCTTTGAATAACTGCCCTATCTCGCCTATTCCCCTGATTTCATCTTCGCACACACCTTCAGACATTCATTTATTCCCAAACCTGAATAAACATCTTGGAGGTCTAAAATAAAGGCCTTGAAGGAACTTTTTGTATGACCGGCATGCTGGCGTTGGAAACCAGATAGAAGAAGTGCGTAGAGTTAAATGAAGATTACGTGTAAAATAAAATAACTTTTGTTTATATTTTATCTGAGTCAGCAAACTTTTCAATCCACCTACGTACCTAAATATGAATGGGCAGACTTGTTAAGAGAAAAGATTTGGGAGAAAACCAAATCTTCTTGCAGTTGGTGCTTCAACACCTCATATGTTAAAATAAAAATACTGATTAACAATGTTTAATTACAAAAATACATTAAAATATTAAACATAATTTTAGGAAAAAAAAGGTGACGCCCATTAGCCGAAAAGAATTATTGGAAAATGTTAAACATGAGGCTACGATGACAGTTCATAAATCATTAATTCGTTTCGCAATAGAAGTTGGTGATCCTTAACCACCCCATCTACCTTCACATGGAACTTTACGACAAATAAAACACGAGAATAATCTACGTGAGTATTACCATCAAAAATCCAATTGTCTCTTTATTGTACTTGGCTCAGAATATAAAACTCTATAACGATTACATAAAACACATAACAATTCATCCATGTTCACATTCATTATTCGCCTACATCACAAGACATACACTACAGTAAATACCACAAAAACCACAGAGTCACACTGAGCACTGATGTAACTGGTAGTATATTTAAGGAAACCGATTTGATTGTGAAAAACTACACGTTGATTTACGTTGCTGTAATTTACAGTGAAATAAATAAAAGAAGTGTTCCGGTTACTCAAATGATTTCAAGTGCTCAGACGATAAACATTATCTTATATTGGCTAAAATATTGGAAAGGTCAGAAGCCCAACTCCTCACGATATAATTTTGGACCAATCGTCAGCGTTAGTAAGAGTCACAATCAAAGCTTTTACTGAGCATATCAGTACCCGATTATCTTTTAGAATCATTCAGAAAACTCGATGCTGATGAGACATCGTCTGATCCGTTATATGTTCGCATCGATACGAGTCACTTCGTAAAAACTATATACAATTATAATTGTACTGTAGATCTACGCACTAAAATATTTTATTGCAATTGTATAAAGCAAACTATTTCAGACATTATAAGAGTAGCTCTCAATAAATACAATAGTACCGGATCTCCTTGCTTTAATAAGATTAAAAACATTCTATAAAACTATAAATTAACCAGATAGTCAAATTGAGAACATACTTTATAGGAACCCCATAAAAATAAACTTATTAAAGAAATTAAACACTGCACAGAGAAACTTATATTTCCGAAGTGGTTTCAGGACAAAATAAATCGTAAAAACAGACAGACAAAAACTTCTTTGATTAACTCGTCGAGTACCGTCATTATAGACACAATTATAGAACAATAGGTTGCGGTCACCGGTGACCGCTTTGTGTTTGACAGTTTAAAATGCGATTGCATTTTTAGATTCGATGTCTAGATAGACATGACAATGATATAAAAAAATAAATAGTATGGGGTGTTACTGGATAGTAACACCCCATACTATTTATAAAAAAATAAATAGTATGGGGTGTTACTGGATAGTAACACCCCATACTATTTATTTTTTTAATATTTTCAATGTACAGAATTTACATTATTATATGTATAGATAGATGTTGTTACGTATTAAATTGATAATTATACCTACGTAGTTTTTAATTTAAAAAATATATTTTTTTGGTTTATCAAAGTTTGTTGTCGTTTATGTTGATAGTTTCCGCCTCACCCAGGCGGGAGAAGTCATTCGATGATTTTGCCCCCTTAAAAACAGGCCTCGTGTATTGTGAGTACGCGTGACCCCCATACCTGATCCGTATCCCTGGTTTTTGGGGTATTATTAAAAAAAAAACTACCTTAGGGTGTACCAGGTACCACAATGTGTTCGGGGGATATTTCGGGATCCGCGCCCTTGAGAAGCATTTTAACTCAAGGGATCTCATTCTTGATCTGGCCGAACGGTGTATATGCCACAATACACTATACATAATACCAAGAGCATATGCCAATCAATATGGGAAGTTAAATCATGTCACAAATAAGTAGAACTTCTTTGCCCTGAGTTATTCGGGCATCACAATGGCCCCAAAGTGATCCAAGTGAGGCTCGTCCACCATGATTAGGTAACAGCTCTCTTGTTGTTTTAATCCATTCACTCAAATGGACGCCATTGTCCGGACCTTGGATTTGACTAATCCGCCGATTTGGCAGGACAGTTTGCCTCTGAGATCATTTGCTGCTTCTGTTGTGCTGGGTCGCTCCATTCCCTACGAAATGGTTGATCGGAACGATTGCTGGCTAACACATCATACCCGTGAATGGATATGCTGGACCAGGTCAGCTCACTCATCGTGCTGGTTGGCTGATCCAGTAGGGTTAATGTAAGAAAATAAGACTATAATAGTTATATAGGTAACAAAATCAAGTACTTTGTGTAGTGATATTAGAGGTTAGCGTAGCATGTACGATCTTTATAATAATTATTATTTGACTATGAAAACAATGCAACTAATTATAATACAAGGGCACGGACGCAAGAGCGTGGAGAAATACAAATTATTAAAAAAAATACCTCTTTTGAAAGCTTAAGAAATGTAGATGTTTTTTGTAAAAAGTGCACAGATGGTGCACAACGTGCATGGTGCATAAAAAGTACATACGTACAACACTCGTACAACGTATCGTGGTGGCCCGGAGGTTTCAGACACCCGCTTCTCATGCATGAGAGTGCGGATTTGAAACCTACCAACGCACGGCAAGTACCAATGTGACTTTTTCCGAGTTCTATGTACTTTCTAAGATTATTCAGACACCACTGATAAACGGTGAAGGAAAACATCTTTTTTTAAACTGGGCTTACAATTTTTAATGATAAGTTATCGCCAACCCGCATTGAGCAAGCGTGGTGATTAATGCTCAAACCTTCTCCATATGAGAAGAGGCTTTGCTCAGCAGTGGGCTTTAAAGGCTGTTGATGTGATGTGACAACATGGGTCATAGTAATTTTTTGTGAAGTGAGAAGTCTTAGATAAACTTGAAAAAAATTTCATTATTCTTTGAACTTGGGATCAATTTGTTTAAAATAATATTATTATTGAGTATTTAATGATAAGAACTGGTAAATTAACTACCTACTAAAGTAAGATAATCAAAACAAGAAAATTAGCACAAGCGCGTTTCTTTTCTTTTTCAGTGTTAGAGTTACCATAGGAATCATTTTGAAATTAACTCTAAAGGTTAAGCGACGCTGCACAGCTCACAAGGAAGAATCCCTATGTGTTTCGAAACTATTCAATAAACTTTCATTTTCGCCATGCCTTTGTTTGGCAAAAATGTTGGAATTGATCTGGTCTATAACCCCATACGAGATTGTGGTCGAATTACAAATCACCCTGTGTAGTGTTCCACTAAGTATCCTAGGTGCCGAGCGTACAGCGCGTTCCGCGCGCGCCTCATGGAGCCATCAGACCACCACAGATGGGGCCCAGGCTGATGTTGATAGTTAAGGGGTCGGCTCTTAGTCTGTAAGAATCTGACACTCCCTCTCACCTCATCCGGGTAAGAGAAGTTATTGCATGATTTTCCCCCCAAAATCCTAGGTGAGAGGGGGAAAACTTGACCTGATTTCATTATTGAATCTTATTTAATTTATTGTGTTTTAATAGTCTTTGGAAAAGAGTGTTGTTTTTATTTTTAACATGCCGTAAGACATTTCGTATTTTTTGAAAGATTTTTGTAAATTGTAAATTTTCTTATTATAATGAAGAAAAATAAATACCATTAATATGACTGTATACTTTTATTAAACAACTAGCTGTTACCCGCGACTTGGTCCGCGTGGAATAGTATCTTTGGGTGTATTTTTGAATCATTAGTAGGTATATTTAAAAAATAAAAATTTATTGTTCTCTTATAAATGTCCAAGAGACACTTACTGGGGCCAGCGTCACGTTGTGTACAAAAAATATTTTTAAATAACCTAATTTAAAACATTTTTATACATACGTTTGCTGTTTTATTGTTGTTAGATAAAATGTGGAGATTTTTGGGATTTGATACACGTGAGCAGGCCACGTAGAGTTGCCCATGCGAAAAACAGTTCTTTTCTAAATTTACACCCGCCACTTTCAGTGTTTGGCCTTGCGCTTTGTTAATGGTCATTGCGAAGGCTGGTTTGAGGGGAAACTGGATTCTTTTGAACTGAAAAGGTAAATCTGTAGGGATCATGGGTATGCGAGGAATCAAAACTTCTTCATCTTTAGCTATTCCTGTCATTATAATTGCTCTAATAATATTGCGTCCTAGCTGCGTAATTTGTAATCGAGTTCCGTTGCATAATCTCGGTGCTTCGAGGTATCTCATTAACAAAACTGGAACCCCAACTTTCAGTCTCAGCTTATGAGACGGCACTCCTGATAGCTCTAAAGAGTTAAGAAACTCTGTAGGATAAGATGTCACCTGCTCACTGTCCATGATAATATGTACTGATAAATATTCGACAACATCGCCTTGCACATGTGACATCATTCGTTCATTTATCTGTCCCACGATTTCATTGGTCGGTGCTAATATAGCCCTTTCACACAACCACTCTCTATTCCTCATGTTATATTCCAAAACGGGATATACGTTGTTTTTAAGATCTTCCAAGTTGTGGAGCATTACAAAATTCTTGATTTAACGTGATCATGCCGTTAGCGTCCGTAGTCAGTCGACCTTCACCAATTTTCAATAGAGCAGCTGCATATTGCCCCGATTGCGTATCATTATGTAGTTGTACTCGCATGTTTTTAGTTAGACAAAACTTTTTTACATGCACCCATAATATAGACGCTTTCAAACATGCATTTACGTCATCTGCTGGAGTGCCTCTGGTAATGACAGGTAGTGTCTGTCGAAAATCCCCAGCAAGCAGCACTACCATCCCACCCATTAAACTCTGGTTGTTACTGATATCTTTCAGAGTTCGATTGAGCGCCTCGATCGCTTTTTTATGCGACATTGTACATTCATCCCACACTAACAGCTTGCATTGCTGTAGCATTCGGCCACGATCGCTGTTTTTTGTGATGTTACACACTGGAATTTCCTCATGAGATAAATTTAATGGGAGTTTAAGCACTGAATGTGCCGTACGGCCTCCCTCGAGCAGCGTCGCCGCAATTCCAGAGGAAGCTACGGCAACAGCTATTCCTTTGTCTTAGCGGATTTGATTAATTTAATTAGACCTATGTACCAAGTTACATGGTTTTATCTCCAAAAATGACGAACACCCACATGCAACCCCTATTTCACCCCCACGCTGGTGTAAATTTTAAAATGCTAGAACAAACGATTTTTTGTTTATTATTTAGTGCCTAAATATAAAATGTAAGGTATCTTCAAGAATGACGAACTTCATACAAACTTTCAACCCCTATTTCATCCCCTCACAGGTAGAAATTTCAAAAACCCTAGAACAAATGTTTTATTATTTTTTATCAAGTGCTTAAATATAAAGTTTCATGGTTTTATCTTTAAAAATTATGAAATCCCATACAACTTCCCCCCCCTTTAACCCCTTACAACCCCTTTTTCGCGATAAAAAGTAGCCTATGTTTTATCTCGGGGTCTAAAATATCTGTATACCAAATTTCATTCAAATCCGTTCAGTAGTTTTGGCGTGAAAGAGTAGCAGACAGACAGACAGACAGAGTTACTTTCGCATTTATAATATTAGTTAGCCGAGGCAGAACCTCAAGTGTGTGGCAAAATACTCAACTTTAGGCAACAAATTGTATAATCCAACAAACAATTACTGCAACATATTGTATAAAAAATTCCATCATTAACTTTCTTTCTCGGTGTGAAAGAGGAGAATTTCTTCTTTAAAATTATTCCATTCATCTCTCATACATACACACATACAAACACACACACCCACACAGATACTCAGATGGAAAGCTTAGCTAGATTATATTGTTGTTCAAGAACTTTTTTGATCACGATGACATATCATATCTATACCTTCGCGGAGAACCTAACGGGTAACCGGGGATCCGGCTCGACGTGCAGGAGATGGAACGGGGTGGTTTTAGTCAGTAAGAGTCTGACACTCCCTCCCGCCTCACCCAGGCGGGAGCAGTCATTCGATGATTTTCCCCCCTTAAAAAAAAGCCTAATTTGATAAGTTTCAAAAATCGCAAACTAACACAATGATTTAAAATTACCTTAGGTGTCAGAGGAGGATTTATATAGCCTATAATTTTTCAACTATCAATATTTGAATGTAATGCAGTATAAGTTGTCTAATAACATTGTACTTTATGAAAATAGAATTAAGGCATTTATTATTATGTATCGACCACATCACCGCTTACCACCAGGCGCGGCGGTCTAACGCCATCCTATCCTATAAACTATGTCGCGGAGAACCTAACGGGTTACCGGGGCTCCGGCTCGAAATGCAAAGGAACGGTGTGGTTTTTAGTCAGTAAGAGTCTTGACACCCATATTTCCCTCCATACAAAAAAATAAATAAAAAAGCATACACACATCCTAACCTCACGCCTCTTTCCCATGGGAGTAGGCAAAGACTATGAAACGCCTATTGCCGCGATTCTTACATCTCTTTTGCTTCAGCAGTCATCACTCTTTTCATGCATACTCGTTAGTTAAGGGTCATAAAATAAAATAATATTTGGTTCTTCTTTATTTATTAGTGAGAGTACAGGTCGATTAGTAGACACACAAGCATATATTAGACATTTATGATATAGAACTACGCACAAGTACATATATTAGTAAAACGGTATTGTTATCACTACAAATACATAATAATTTATTACATTAAAACATCGCCTTATTAATTCATCAAATGCAAAGTATTTATGCATATATGTATCGGTAAATTTAAATATACTTCTAAATGTATACTAGTAAAATATTACTGATTTTTGTGCAAACATATTTTCTGCCAGCTATTGCGCATGTTATAGGATAAAACATACTTTGCTCTAGAGTACATCATTAGCATACATATAACAAGGGTTTGTTAAATTAAGATTACACATAGCATCGTTACTACTTAACGACTGGGTTTTCTATAATAGTAAATGATTGTGTTTTGCAGCTTTTTTGCAATTTACCAAAAAAGGCAGTCGCATTACAACCAATTTAATTTTTTTTAGAGCAGTGAAGTATTACAAAAAGAACTATTCATTGTTATTACAATAAAATCGCTTAAATTCGCTAAAATTTAGACAATTTTCAAAATGCATAATATTGCAATAGGGGATGATAAATTTAATGCAGAAAAATATTAATCATACTCCAAACTAATACCTCTTTCGCTTGCAGACTCAAAATTATTTATGTAAGTGTTTAAAAAGGTATAAATAAAATAGAACATTTGTGATTATATGTGTGTACACAGTAAACATTAGCCATTGGTTAATTATGATTTTTCACCTCACTTTTGATCACTGTGATATAAATAATATTTTGCTCCTGCTCACTCCACGCTGTTATCACCCTCCATTGTCTCCTGCTGATCATCGAAGGTAATGACCGCGTACATTTCTTTATTAACCGTGGACGTTGCTGTTGGTTCCCGCGAATCGTTGGTACTCCCTTGACGTTCGTTAGAGATTTCGTCAAATTTTATTTCTACTTGATATTGTTGATCAGTCGAGTTAGTTTGGACGTCTTCAGCTCCTGAAATTAGCAGGAGCGAGCCGTCACTGAATTGTATGAGGTGATCTTTAGACGTCTCGTGACGTGCAGGTGGCAGAACTTCTGGATCCAGGTCCAGAGGTGGAGCAGTCGGCATGGCCAACACTTCGGCGCGGGTTGCTGAATCCAAAAACGTTGGTAGCTCTTCGTCTACCTCGTCACCATGGATGTTGCTTGACTGCGCCGCCATTTGCAATGACCACTGTTCTTGGGAATCCATCACAATAGACGACGAGGCTTGCATCACTTCATGCTGTTGGGTTATTTCTAACATTGACAAACTTTGTAATAGTTGAGATTCATCATTTTCTGAGTTTTCACTATGTGTGTAAGACATTTTTGCTTCACCAAGTACTGGGCACAACTTTGACACGGCGATTACAGGGAGATGATTGCGCAATACACGAAGTACTGCCGTAACTCACCCCGAGCCCCTTTGATATTGATTTGCTACAACGAGGTATTTAAGCAACGCAACCAATCAAGGTATCATTTATCTCTTCTTGTCGTATGAACAAGTTTGTAAACATGAAAGAGACAGATTTTTCGTTGCCAGCACTAAAATATTAAGTATTATGATATAATTTCAAAAAATTACTTTTTATAATTAACAGCAAAATAACCGTATGATATAACCGTAAATTTTATAAAAATCTATTAAATATCTAACTGATTTTTCAGGCACATATTTTTAACGAGCGTTGCCATCTGTTGTAGAGAAAGTAAAGACTAGTAATTTTTTTTTCGGCAAAAGATGTCGCTTGCATGCAAATTTTCAATTCTAATCATTTTTGATTTAAAGGTACCCTTAATTTTCATATATTTTTGAGAACTAGAGGAGAATGATTATAGATTTGTTATTGACGACTGCTAGTTCTATATTACAGCAAATTGAATGTTCAATATTTTACAAATTTCTGTCCCGTCAGGAAAGAAACAGACACATTTTTGAAATTTTTATTGTCTTTAAACCTCTATTAATAAAAATATTATTAATTACCTTCTTTAATATTAATGTGAAAGATAAGCAAAACTGAGCAGTAAATGCTTGATGAAAAGGTGTAGAATTTTGCTGTATACAGATTGTATCGCTGAAACAATTCCACTAATATTTTTACACAATTCTGTCATCACCCTTGCTTATTATGAAATAACATTTGTACAAGATAGATTAGTTTATGATCTGGAATAACGCGTCGTGCTACGGGAACGTGGAGAAGTGAGTAAAGTATATAAATTAATAAAAATAAGTTTCCCAATAAAATTGTCTAACTCCAATAATGGTTTTTAACTTTCGTATGGTTTATATCCTTACACTATAAATGATTTTGAACTTTTAAATATATTCATTTTTAACTTGAATGAAGTACACACATACGAACATTACGTTGTGTGAAAACATGTCAGGACACAATCGTTTAGCCTTGTCTATTACACGTAAATGTCCATTACTTTCATCTCATGTACATTTAATATGGCTGCCCATAATGGGCGGGGATTGCATCAACCCCTGCTGCATATTTCGATCCCTTTTGCACTTATGCATTGAACAGATTATTTGTCATGCTCTTTAGCAGTAAACGTAATAATTTGGAGTCAGGATGAATGATATCCTGTATTTCAGCCTCGTGATCACAAGGCACATTAGCGTAGTTGGTAGCGCGTCGAGCTCGTAACTCGAAGGTCGTGGGTTCAAGTCCCTCATGTGCCTAAAATTATTTTGAAATGATTTTACATTTTCTATGTAATTCAGTATTTTTATAGACATTACATTACTAATTTGTTGTCAATTATTTGTTTATTCGACAGGGTTAACCTGTAAAAGTATTCAGATACCAATGACATACTGTGAAGGAAAACATTGTGAAGAAACTTGGGCTTATAATTTCTAATTATATGATTGCAATCGACAAACGGCCTTGTGAAAGATGGATTTTAACGCTTATATCTACTCACTGTGAAATGAAATTCTACCTTTGCTTCGCTGTGGAAACTTACAGGCCGTTGATTAATGATGACAACGAACTGAAACTGCAACCATCAACCTATCTTAAGGGATATCATCTGTAGTATAAACCAGGAAAACATTAACTTCAACGTTACCTGAAAACGTATTGCGAACCAACCCAATATCGTATGACCAGTGTTACCACGAGCACTTTGACGAATATAGCTTCTTCATACTATAGAGGTATATAATAACCAGTTTTTCTGGTTTATATTAAAAAACATGCACTTTAAGTTCCCCTCAGAGTACTTGTTATTTTTTGCCGGAATAGTATACAGCGTAAACCTGAAAGTATGAATCAAACCAAACAGGGGCAAGGGCCAGATCATTTGCAATCACTTTGGCTCTCCGAATATCGTTGGAATTTTGGTTGAAGAGAGAAACAAAAATGTAAACTTGAAAGATATTGAAAAGGTATTGCATGTTGTTGATCTGTTTAATTCCGACAATGTGCATTTATTCTAAAATGGTATATTTTCTCATTAAATTTTGCAATCTCTGCTTCTAGATTACTGTTGATTGCCATATACAAAGGCGTGTGTTTGTTACCATTATTACCAAAAACTTCTGAAGAGTTTCGTATTCTTATGACGCTATACGTGGACTAAGTGTGTCTGAAACATAGAAGAAAACGCAAAAGCAGCTGAATAAATGTGCGTAATCCCTTAGCAATTTATGTAAAGATAGATTATTAATAAAAATGAACAGTGAGAAATACAATAAGAATGATTCATGTTTGCATAAAGTTATGATTGAGCATTAACTTAACTATTACTTTTGCAACATTTCAATAATTATGTTTTCTTAGTAAAAGTTACGTCTGTGTCTGTGTCATTCCTTCTTTTATGTGTGTAACAAAAATTAATAACAAATCTATAAAGTAATATGAAAAATATAGATAAATAAATTAAGGTCGAGTTAATTAATTAAAACAACTCATTAATTCACATTGAATTTTAATATTGTAACACACCACAGTAGACATAGAACATCATAAACATTAATGTTATTTTCATTCGAATAACCTTTTTATATCGTTATTCTTTCACTACACATATTGACAAAACTTAGCGAACCAACTTAGAATTTAACCACTTTGACATTTAGTGAGTTACGTGTGCTATTTAACATTTACTTACTGACAAACGGTGCAGGAAAATATCGTGATTATAATTTGTAATTATAAGTTTCAAATTGCCAACCCGCATTGAGCAAGCCTGGAGATTAACCTCCGTGCAAGAAGAAGTCTTAGGTCAACAATGGCCATCTATAGATTGTTAATGCAATGTAAAATGAGACTTGATTCAATATCTAATGAAATCAGTCTTTATTTACATTTTATAGCTCCGTGTTAGTTATACGAGTAGTATATATTTATCAACACAACAAATACATTAACAAGCACAAATAAGAAGCTATGTTATATTTACAAATACTTCCCCTAGCTGTGAGCAGTTAGGTGAAGATGATTGAGAACTTCTGATCTCATACATATCTGAAAATGCATACATCAAGCAATTGAAATTATTTCTAGAAGTCGAAAGCAAATGACAATTTTACATGAGCAAGTTATAATTTTCCTCAAAGTACTTTTTATTTTATTTGACACATTTTTAAGAATTACTTCGGCTAAAAACTTTAATCCGCTTAACCTATCATTACTTCGTACGTTTTGAAAACATTTATTCGAATAAAATATTAATTTCTACATTAATGTTTATATTACTGAATGAGTGTAGTATTGAATTATATTATGCGTGTATTATGTATGTATATCTATGAAATATTTAAATTGGAATCATTAAATTTATTAATGAATAGAATGGAAAAAAGAACGTTACAAACAGACATCATATTTTTTTGTATAATGAAAACATTCAGATGTTATTAACATTTTCACTCAAAACTGTTTGAACTCAGTCCAGTTAAAATATCGTCATAATCTCTCTTATCTAAGGAGAAATCAAAAAAAGTTTTGGGGTTCTCCATATCTTCTTCGTAATTAATTAAGTCAGAGTTAGATGACTCATGCAATCGTTGGTTGTCATTTTCACTCTTTGTCATACCCAAACATGGTGGGGAACTTTCTAGGTCTGGTTCGAGTTGTAAAATTGTTACATCGATAGCAAAATAATAGTTCTCCAATGGTAAAAACGTTTCCAATGGTAAAAATGATACCAAAGGTTCCATTCGATAGTATTGAGAGAATATGTAACCATAGCCAATACAAAATTTATCTTGTACATTGGTCGCCGCGGAACCGGTAGAACTACCCGGAGCTGTGGATTTTTTTTTCTGCTTTTCTTCAAGAGTTCGTGCGAATTCTTTGTCCTGAAATAAAATTATGACACAATTTTATGTACAAGCAGAATCTAAGAGTTTCAACAGTATTTTGAACGGATTTTTATGGGATTTATGCTATTTGCAACTCTGTAATACAATAGACAATTAAATTTTCTTCAACTTTTGTCTATTATATTTATATTTTGCAACTATTTTCGAGATAGAGGGCGCAACACGCACATTTCTTAATTTTTAGAGCACATTAGCGCTTGCATGATTAATGTGGTGTTTATTATATTCATTATTCTTATACATTAGTTTTACCTGGAAGTATGGATCAAATGGAATAGAGGAAATTATTCTTTATGGCTTTTTTCTGGGAATAAGCGTCCGAATCTTAACGGATCAAAGTTATGACTAGTTTTCCTTTTTCTCAGTGTTTTCTCAATATGCTTAAAAGATCGATCACAAACAAAAAACTATCGGAGGTATCGATTTCATTTTTAGTTTTAGACTTTCTACAAGATCATTCATTCTCTCAAATTAAGCAACATTAATATATTGCAAAAATTTCACGTACATATATAAGTCGGAAAATCTATCGTTATAGTGATCCAAGAAAGCTGTCAGTGTCTCTGACTCGGAAACGCCGACTAACTGACTTCGAGTATTTGTGGCCGCTTCTTTTAACTACGCCGCGCCGCGCCGGCCGGCCGGTTGTGGTAGCACTCTCCAGACATTTTAAGATATCTTTCTTATTACTATACTTCGAAGTGAAAAAAATAAACCACGAGAAAATTGACCACGTATCAGAAAAACTTTCACCATTCATACAGATTATTTGGAAGTATGAATCACGACGATATTCTCAATATTCAATGATTTGGAGAATTGTATTATCGTGGATGTCGTAATTATGCAAATTACTTGGTTTCAAAATGTCTCTTATTTTCAGTTACTACCATTTAATATTAGTTTCAAGTGTGATATACTTCAAGTTAAATAGGTAAAACAAATTTTTAATATCTTATACAGATAAGACGAGATGAGATGGTCAAAAATTTTTACCATTATGACTAATATAATTTTTAGACCTTATGTATATTTATGTTCACATATCCTAGGATATATATTAGCTATGTGCCAAAGAGTTTAGTTAGACATAATCTCATTTGGTTTCTAAAGAGAGGTAGAACCAAGGTGTAGACAACTTACGTCAATATCATCCGCGTGACTTGTTTTAAACGGGTCGCCGACGAAGCTAATCAAATCATAGTACCAAAGCCGAGGCTTATACCTCACGCCGTGCTCTAACCACAAGGAATCCACCTGAAAATAAAAATATTATAAGAAGCATGTCTTTAAAATCTAAAACTATTGTCTATGTTAAGCTAGCTTCTGCCCGCGACTTCGTACGCGTAATCCCATTTTTTCCCGTCCCCGTTCGTGATTTTCGGTAAAAAGTAAAAAAAAAGTATTGGTTAAAAAGTATCCTATGTCGGTCTCCTGGCTCTAAGCTACCTCCCTACCAATTTTCAGCCAAATCTATTCTGCCGGTCTTGAGTTATAAGTGGTGTTACTAACACAACTTTCTTTTATATATATAGATCAGGTTTGCTAATTATAATTCGGATGTAATAACAATACAATATAAGTACAAACAACACGACATTGCGGTGAAGGGGGAGGAGGAATTGTCCCGCGATTGATTTTTGCGGCTACTCCTTAGAAACGGTTGCCTTCTTACACATAAACTATCGATACAAAACAGAAACGCACTTTTCGTAATTTTTGTACAACTTGGACTATTCCAAGTGATTTACCGTAATTTCAATTCCAAGAAAATTTAAATAATTTTTCGTTACTCAATGATTTACTCACAGCCTGTACTATAATAGTAAAGCTTTATTTAATAACATAATAATTATAAATAATTAGATTACGTTACTTAATTTTTATTAATTAAATAATAAATGACTAGATAATACTAGAAATTATAATAATTTAAAGGCTAAGGTGTCGCTGTTTCTCATCACGAACACATAATCATATATTAAATATCTTATGATAGAATTAGAACTAAATAAATGTTGATAATATTAACAGAATTTATAGTTAATTACTTACTTTTTTCTTTTGACGAGTGAAATTCGAACGCATATGCGAAATCCTGTTTTTGACGTACTTTGGACATATGTCGCTTTTGTATTCACGCCAGACATTGATGACTTCTTCCCAAGCTGCGGCTCGCCATTTCTGGCAGTAATACTTCGGATGAGTGGTATCCCAAAGAAACCTATAGACTCTATACTTCTTGATACTCTTTTTCATGGCTTTGATTTTTTTATAGTGATCTTCATCTCTATATAATTTTTTAAAGACCATTCTTAGAGCGCTCTATTGCTACGACACTTGCAAAC